AGAGGGCAAGGTGCGGAGGTGGCCAGGCCTGGGGTGATGAGCGATGGGGTGCAGGCTGGCCCTGGAGACCCACTGGCTGCAAACACTTCCCCTGGAACCAGCCGCCAAGATGCAGCCCTGGAGCTGAGCAGAACTCACTCTCGGGGGAGAAACAAAGAAATAGCACCTGGGCTATCTGGAAGGAGCCATCAGCATTCACATCCCACCCCCTCCCCAGCAAAGGGCTGTGCGGTTGTACCCCAGCTCCCTCCAGACCGTCCCATCGAGCACAGGCTGCAGCGGACACTGGAGGGTGGGCACAGCATCAAAGGCAGCCTGGGTGGGGACAGCAACGCCACCCGCACCGTTAGTGACACCGAGACTTCTCCTGTAGTCTTTATTCCTTTATTTTCTTTCTCTAATAAGTAGATTGAGGTGACTAACGAGAGCCTCCTGATGTGCTTCAGCCCTCATTTCACCAGCCCCTGGGGCACCTGTCTAGTGCTGCCGGTGCAGCGGCCTCTTGCAGGGCTCTGGAGAGTCCTGGGGGCCAAGGGCCCTCCTCTTTGGCGGTCCCTGCCCTGGCCAGGAGCGGAGGGGCTGGAGCTGCAGCCCTGAGCAGAGATACCTGCCGCCGCTGCCTCCCCCGGCTCCTCCTGGGGCTGCTCCTGCTCTGCAGGGATGGGCGCAGATGGGGGGTGGCCAAGACCCCCGCGGAGGGCGGCCTCCAACATGCCAGCTTCCTCCTCCCCATTAGAGCCTGCAGGGCTGCCGGAGGAGGCCAGGTAGGGGGCAGGAGTCCCGGGAATGTCCCCCCCCGGGAGATGGTGGGGGCTGGCTGCAGGGCTATCATCCTACCCCCTGGCATCCTACCCCTACCTGGTCCAGGTGCCAGCAGATCTCCCTGCCTCACAGGCGCACGGCGGCGGTGATGAGCTGGCGGACGAATGTCCCCGTGTGTTCTAGCAGGCAGTTCTGCAGCTGCCACACCAACACCTCCTTGTCTAGCCCCCAGAGGCACAGGTGGGCCACCATGGTGCCCCCTCTGGCAGCCAACTCCCACCACTGGTCCTCGGCGAGCACCCTGAGCTTCTGTCGCAGCCACAGCAGGAGGGGCGTGATGTTATTTGGGTGGCTCTTGAAGAAGTCTGCCCAGACCTCAGGAGGGAAGCTGTCCACATGAGCCCTGGGCTCCAGCCCCACAGCCCCCTGCTCATCCTGGCGGTCTTCAGCAGATGGCTCTGCGGGGCCTGGGACATCGAACACCAAATAATCGTCGTCTGACCACACCAAGAACAAGATGGCCATCGTCACCGACCTGCACAGGGGGCAGTTTGGCTTCTGCCATGCCCAGCGCAGTGCACAGCCTAAGCAAAATTTGTGGAAGCAGGGTGACATGTAGGCAACATCATCTTGATCGTCGTGGCAGATGGGGCAGCTCCACTCACTCTCAGTGGCCAAGCTCTCTGCACACTGTGGTGCGCTGGGGAGCACTGAGGATGAGGAGCTGCTCCCTCGTCAGTGGCAGGTGTCGTGTGCTGCAAAAGGGAGAGAGGCCACAGTCACTTGCTGTCGCAGGGAGGGGAGGAAGAAATGCCTCCAGTCCCCGTGGTTTCCCAGGGCTCCCCGCTAACCAGGGCCAGGCTTGGGCTGTGGAGCTGGCAGCTCCCCGAGCCCCATTGCCTGCCCCATGGCTGCCCCATGGCTGCCCTGGGGGCACTTTTCCCCCGCACAGCTCACCTCCACTGCTGCAAGCACGCCCCACAGTGCCCGGCTGTGTGAACCAGGAGGCAGGGCCAGGGAAACACAGGGGATGGCTCCGGGACGGGCACCGAGAGCTGCCGATGGCAGGCCCCAAAGCACCACCCAGCACCAGGAGAAGCCTCGCAGGCACGCTCAGCAGGAGTCCTGTCACGAGCCAGACTGGGCCAGGCTCTGCTGGCACCCGAAGAGAAGCAGCAATGGACGTGAGGTCACAGTCCATCGTTTGGTGATGTCAGAGCCCACCGCTTACCCACAGTGACGACACAATGGCCCATCTGTCCCCGCAGAGCTTGCCCAGGCAGTAATCTGTCCGGCTTCCAGTGAAGGACTGTTCTTACCACAAAAAATTGCTTTCTTATGTTGAGATAAATCCTCTCCCAGTGGAGAGGAGAGCAGTTAAGAGCACCTGACGGAAGCAGAGGAGCAGCATGGGCAGAGCACAGGGGAAACCAGAGGAAACACCTGCACTCGCACACCCTTGGGTGCAATCCCACTCACATCCCTCCTGGTGTGCAGGTCCCCAGCCGGCAGGACAGAGGCCCTGGAGAGATGGGGTTCCCGAAGCAGGAACGGTCAACCGAGGAGACACCCTTTGCCCTTGGACAGCTCGTGGGCCACCAGCCTGCCTTCCTGCTGGAAGCTGCTGGGCCACCAGGCCAGTTGTCCTCTCTATCCAAATAGCCAAGATGAAAATGAAGTGTGGAGGCGGAAAAGAGGTGCAGGGCTGTCCTCTCTATCCAAATAGCCAAGATGAAGTGTGGAGGCGGAAAAAAGGTGCAGGGTAGTGAAAGAATTTTTTTTTAAGATCATTCACCTTGCGAGCGTAGTTGCAAGAAATAATAGTTTGATCCATGGCCACCTACATGAACATGCTGCGCTTCCTGCCTGGGATGTGCAAATCCCTCTTCCGGGGCTGGGGGAGGCAGGGTGGTGGCCACTTCCCACCCTAGGCCAGGTCTTGCTCCCTCCTCCTCCATCATCCTGGGGAGGTACAAAGCTCACCTCAGTCCATCCACAGCACAGACAGCAGCTGTCTAGGAGGACAGCACCTCCTCCGTAACACTGGCGAGGTCCCCGATGGTGGGAGCTTGGGCCTGGGTATCAGGAAGAGTTTCCCCTCCCTCAGGTGTGGTGTCGCCCATTTTATGATCAGTGGCTGGTAACACTGGACAGACAGACCTTGGCAATACAGAGCTCTGTACACATCTCCTCCTCTACCAGCCCTGAAGACTGATCTTCCGCACCAGCCTGACCTTCTTGTGAGAACACTCACAAGATTCTCTCAGGAATCCTTCCATCTCTCTGCCATTGCAGCAAATGGCTCAACAACCTCTCCAAAAATCTCCCATGCTTCAGAAAGAATAGCACTCTTGGAAGTGAGGAAAACCTTAGGTGTGGTGTCACCTCGTTTATCCAGAATGGTTATGAAATTATCATCCCTTGCAGGTAATGAAGGAGACTGCAACACATGTTCAGTAGCTTGCTGAAATGACTCAATGGGATTTAGACACAGAGTCTTCAGTGCTGTCCAATGTGCTCATCACTATTTTTGCACACACAATCAACTAACAGCTGACACGTGGGATCCACATCTGTCAAGCCAGGGTGTACTGGGTTTACGTGGCAAGGTTTTGGTAGCAAGGGGTGCTGCAGGGTGGCCTCTGTGAGAAGAGACCAGGGGCTGCCCTGTGCCAGACACAGATGGTTCCAGCTGCCTTCAAAACAGATGCACTGCAGGACACAGCTAAGCCCATGAGCCATGCTGGTGGTGCCTCTGTGAAAACATACTTAAGAAAGAATGAAGAATGCTGCAGGGCAGCTGTGAGAGAGCGGAGTGAGAAAAACATGAGAGAAACAGCCCTGCAGGTCAAAAAAGAAGGAGCGGGAGGAGGAGGTGCTCCAGATTCCAAAGCAAAGATTCCCCTGCAGGCCCTGGAGACGACCATGGTGACACAAGCTCTCCCCCTGCAGCCCATGGAGGACCACAGGGGGGCAGATATCCACACTGCAACCCGTGGAAGACCCCACACCGGTGCAGGTGGAGATGCCCTGAAGGAAGCTACAGCCCACAGAGACCCCACACAGTAGCAGGCTCCTGGCAGGAGCTGCAGCCTGTGTTTAGGAGCCCATGCAGGAGCAGGCTTTCTGGCAAGACCTGTGACCCTGTGGGGGACCCATGCTGTAGCAGTCTGTTCCTGAAGGATTGCCACCCTGTAGAAAGGACCCATGCTAGAGCAGAGGAACAGCGTAAGGAGGAAGGAGCAGCAGAGAGAGTGTTATACACTGACCACAACTCCCATTCCCCTGCACTGCTGGGGAGGACGTAGAAGAGTCAGGAATGAAGGACTGAAGTTGAGCCTGAGAAGAAGGGAGGGGAAGGTGGATTTAGTTTTGTCTTTGTTTCTCATCATCCTACTCAATTTTTAATTGGCAATAAATGAAATTAATTGTCCCTGAATCTATTTAGCCTGTGACAGTAATTGTTAAGTGATCTCCCTGTCCTTATCTCAACCCACAAGCTTTCCCATCTTATTTTCTCCCCCATCCTGTGGAGGAGGGGAAGTGACAGAGCAGCTTGGTGGGTACCTGGAGGCAACCAGCCACGGTCAAACCCACCACTTATGGAGGCAGTAATACAGGAGAGGCAGAAGGCAACTTCCTGGTTCAGCCCTGAGAGCTACTGCTGTGCACACAGACCTAGAGAACAAGACCCTGCCTGAGCCCTGTGCCTTGCACATACATGCAGCAGGACACCTAGGGTGAGCTGAGCTGGGTGAACGTCGCCCGAAGCAAGGAGGTCAGGAGGAGCTGCGCTATGGCCGAGGCTACAGACAAGACGGATGTCTTCAAGTATGTAGTGGTAGGGCATACAGAAGAGGAAAACAGGCTCGAGAGTTGCACAGCAATAGGACGCAAGGTAGAAGACACAGACTGCAACAAGGGAAATACAAAGAAGAAATCTGGAAAAAAAATGTTTCCCAGGGGAATACTCAAACATTAGAAGAGGTAGCACAGAGAGGCCATCCAGCTTTGGGAATATTGAAAACTGAACAAATCCTGAGCAATTTGATCAAAGTTGTTCCTGCTTTCAGTGAAGGCTGGGACCTGACGACCTCCAGAGGTCCCTTCCAAACTGGAGTACTCCTGACAGCATGAACTTCTAACGGTCTGTACCAGTAAGACACCCAAAACCGAAAGATAAATGTTCTGTTTGCAAAGTACACAGTCCACACATTTAAATTCATTAAAAAAACCAAAAAAGTCTTATTGCTTTATTCAGATTTTGACATAGCTCACTTTTACGTTACTGGAAGTCCTATGGAAGATCTATACAGAAACCGCTGACTACTTTTCAGCAGAGATCAACTTAAACCAAATAGATTAAAACAACAGTAGAATTCAACCTGAATAATTTCTTATGAACTAAGCAATTTTTTCTTTGTCTAAGAATAGCAATCCCCATAAACTGCATTTTCTGGCTTTTGGTTTGGGCTCCTTTTTTGTTGTTTGTTTTAAACAAAACTTTGAAATACTCTGTGGATATATTTTACATACTACAAGAATACAGAATGGCTTTATGAAATTACAACTTCCAAACAGCCTTCTGAGAAACTTTAAAAGTTACGTACTAGCAATATTCTATCTTGTTTGACTTAAAAGTGCATACACATTCAAAGGTTTTACACATTTCCCAGACATCTTTTAACATACACAAATCACATCAGGTGTTCTCATTCTCAAGGGGAAAAAAGTAGTTAAAAGAAATTCACAATTTTAAGAAGTGTTCTGTGGAACGCGTGCTACATTTTTTCTTCTGGGAAATCAAACCAAGAGGATCTGTTGAAAAGTCTCTTTGGCAGTCCTAGTATCAGTGGTCGTCTCTCTGGACGCTCTAGGAAGGAAATCCTGGGGGAAGGCAGTTGACTGGAAGGCGCTGCTGGTGCTTCTTGAATGTAGCTGGTTACAGTTTCTATGTGAGGAGTGTTACTGCTGGTATCCGCTCTGACAAGGCTCTGATCAGCTGCTGTTTCTCGAAGTTCGACATCAGCATTTCTAATGTCACCACCTAAGTCTCCCCTTCTGGTAGGAATACTGTACCTTTTGGCTGCTCCTCCAGTTTCCTCACCAACTCTGTAAACATCTTCACATCCTGTCATTTCCAGAAAAGAAGACGGAGACTCATTTTCCCTCTCATTTATCTGAGTTGTGCCTGTCCAAGTAATACTGCTGTCACATTCGATACTTTCTGGCTCCTTGCTACTATCGCTATCAATTGTAATCACCACTGGAGAAGAATGTGCCGAGTTACTCATGTGGTGTTTCCGGTGTTTCTTCTTATGCTTCTTCTTTTTCTTTTTAAGATGCCTTGTTGTGTCTGTCGCTTTTCCTTCATAGACTATCTCCACACTAGGACTCCTCATCTTTTTTTTCTTTTTCTTATGCTTTGTCTCACTGCTTGCTCGATTGTCTGAAAGGCTATCTTCATTTTTGTAGCAGTCACTGAATTTTGAGGAAGTTTTCTTGGGGTCACTGTCTCTTTCTAGACTTGTGCTCTCCATCAATGCATTCTCCAAGTGGCGAGTTTTGTACTTCCTTTTTCCACCAGGCTTTTCACTTTTCATTCTGTCAGTTCCTCCAGAAGGTGTCCTTGACCTGTTGCTTGATCGACTCCTTGACCTGCATCTTTCATAACAGTAATAGTGTCTCTCATGGACTCCCCTCTGGCTATGCAGATCTGCCCTTTCAATAAATGATCGCATCCTGTATTGCGGACTAGCAGATTGCCTTGAGTAGAGAGCATTAGACTGAGTCCTCCTCCTGCTGGAGGATTCATAGCCATCTCCGAACGCCTTTCGATTACAGAAAGCATAACCCCACGGGTATCTACTTTGATAATTGTCTCTTACATAATAACGATCACTCTCTCTACTTCTTGATCTCCTTTTGCCGTAGCCTTTGCTACGTGATCGTGATCTGCTTACTTCTCTGGATGGAGTGCTCTCACGACTTAGAGAGCCTCTCTGGCTTTTTAGAGAGAGTCTGGTGTCATGAGCCCTCGACGTCCTGCTGCTTCTTTTGCTCTTATGTTTGCTACTATCTCTGCTTCTCGATCGTCTCCTTTTAAACTGGCTTTTGCTATGATGCTCCCTCCTAGACCGATGGCCATGACTGCCTCGACTGTTCCGTGAACAGGATTGTGGGCTCCTGGACTTTCCCTTTCTAGACACTCTGTGATTCCAAGGGGAGCATACTGTGTCACTCCCTGGAGAGGGGCTCCAGCTCAAGTCCCGTGGAGACAGATCTTTTACCTTACATTTGTTGTTCTCATCTTTTGACTCTGTCTTCTCAACTGCAGGAGATAAGCAGCTTCTACAACTACCTACATCCTCCTTATATGTGGGGGAATGTGGTGAGAAACTCCTGCTTGGTTCACTATCACTCCAGCTGCGACACTGGATTGGCTGCTGTTTCTTCACATCTTCCCTTTTCTCTTCCCTGATGGACTCTTCAGAGTCCGAGGACAGCTCAACCACTTCTGGTGTCCTCTCAGCTAACGGCTTAACATACCCAACAATAACACAATTGTCCGAGGAAAGGTCACTGTCATTTGAGTCAGCATTAGCCTGTAACTGAGTTTGCAGTTTGTTTCTTCGACTCTTTGTAGCAGAGTCCTCATCAGAACTTTCTGACATTTCCAGAGGAGAAGCTATGGTTGCACGAACCTCTTCTGAAATGGAATAGGAAGGCCCCGGAGTTTCATCATCCCAGGGGGCCTGACCCAGACCAGTCACAGACAAACCGTTACCTGGCCCTTGAGAATATGACATATCTGGAGATATTGTAATAATTGACGAGTCTGAGTGGCTTCCTTCATCATATGATGGCGCAGGACAGTCATAATTGGCGTGTTGATCATATGCTTCTAAGTTAAAAGGACAACGGGCAAAACTGATGAATTCATGTAAGAAGTGTTCAGTCCGATTCAGCAAAAATGGCTTTAAATCTTCAGCAAAGGCCTGACTTTCCAGATCATACCTAGTCACATTGCTCATGATAATGTGCTGTACAATATTAACCAAAGATCCATGGGCACCAAACAGGACTGTAAGTTCTCGCTTCAACCAAGGAACCAACCTGTGAAGGCAAGCAGGGTTGCGGCGGAAGAACTCTGCTGAAATGTCTCGATAGCGGCCACCATCCTGAATACTACGAATACGCACACCAGTACGGTACAGAGCTCTGCGGAAGCTGATCATCTCCTCCTCCTGAATCTGCCGCAGAGATCTGCCTTCTGCACTAGCCTGCCTCCTTGAGGCCAGCCTCCTTATCATCTGCTGAATCTCTCCATCTCTCTGCCGCACTGGTTCGCTCGACAACCCTTCAAACAATATCCCATTATCTGGAGGGGTCAGCGTCCTTCGGGAAGGGGAACTGCCACTGCGGCGTTCCCCTGTTAAGGTGGTACGGTAACGAAATCTCCGGCCATCAGGGCTGGCAAAAGAGCTATTTTCTGAAGGGCTGAGTATGTACTCCTTAAAGTCATCTTCAGCGCGAATTGTATGGAAAATGGAAAAAAAGGGTTGCTTGCAGAGAGGGCATTCTGCTTTGTTTTTTGACCACTCCTGGACACAGCGGAAACAGAACCTATGCAAGCAGCGATCTAGATATGCAACATTGTCAAAACTATCCAAGCAGATGGGGCATTTAGAGTCAGGAGACGCATCTGTTGGCAGCTTGCTGGTGCTGGCTTTTGGCGAAAAGTTGCTATCGTCTGCAAACTCCTTATCTGCTGAAGTCATGTTCTACAAAAGAAATAGACAAAAGGTCACTGCTATCTCAGAGAGACAAAAATGTTAAAGTCTAGACACAGAAACCCATAACAGTCGCCTTTAAGGTTGCAAAACCCAGCATTAGCACTGAGAGAACACCGCACAAAGAGGCAGCACGACCTAACTACTTTGCTTGGCTTCTCTTCACAGTGAGATCTGGCTCTTCGGTGTTGCAAGTTTTAAACAGAGCTTGGATCGTGCTGGCATGTATGACGGTAACAGTTAGGCAGGACTCTGTCTTCTTCCCTGCTCATAAATAACTGCTTTGACGTGGTCAGTAAGTTTATGATTAACACGGTATCCTCCGAAACACACTTCCAAAAGAGACCAGCGTTTACATATGAAAAATATGAGAACAGTTAGTTCTGTCCTTTAAGAAAAAAAAGTCAAAACAAGTAATTGCAGTTGAATTAAACTACCAGTTTCCAAGTTCTGCTGGACCTGTCCTGTTCCTGCACCCTCTGCCTGTGTTTTGCTGGGCACTCATGCTGGACCACATACGGCTTGTTGGACTAGATGACCTCCAGGGATGTGTTCCAGCCTAAGTTAGTCTTTGTTTTTACAACTGAAGCAGAAACAGCCAGCTGTCATTCCTACACCCACCCTCAGGTACACGCTGCCTTTGTATCTAGTCAGGCTGTCAAGCGCAGTCAGCAATAAATCCATCTATTTTGAAGTTTTAAAGCACTATCCTAAAGCATTATAATTCAGTGGAAATAGGTTAACTTCGAAACTCATCCGCCCACCTTTTGCAGCAAGCCCGGGAGCAGCTCATAACCGCTTGCGGGACACCGGGCACGAAGTGTGCTGTGCACACCCACGGACCCGCACGCACTGGGGGGGCACAAGCGCAGCTGGGGAGGGGCGCCCACACACGCAGGGGGTGTCGTCACAAGGGCACCCTGAAAGGGATCACGCCCCCCCGGTGCGACACCTCCCGCCCGCCCGCTGCG